TAGTGTCATACACAAATATTTAAGGATAAAACATTTTATACCCAGTAAACATAGTATGAAGATGTATCTATAGTAATTCACATGTAAAGAAAAACAACATGAATAAAGCGGAAAGACATTTTACTCATAATTAAGAGTAGAAAGTACAGAAATCAAATTTAGGAAAAAACAAACAAGAATTTATCTTACAACTAGCAAAACATTTTGGGGATGTAATTTTATAAACTTGTATAAAGGCGGTAACATAAGTTACAAATCAATATTTAATAAACAGATATAAATATTACTAATTATACTGAACAAAATTACATAAGCTATTTAAGTACATAATCATTAAGTTAATTGTGTAACAGTAAATTAAATTACCATATTACATCATAATGAGTTAAGCAATTTTGTCTAATAACATGTTTAATTAAAATGAATGTGATTGGTTATAAACAATGATTATACTGTCTTTATTTCCCTATACATCGCCTTTTCATGGACTTGTTATTTGATTGTGCACAAAATCGATTATTATTCGAGTAAACAAATTACTTATTTTGTAAAATATTGTTCATTGAACAGTTTTATAACTCATCAGTTGTTTAAAACGTTATTCAGTAATGTAGCAATGAAACTATGAAAATGTTTATGAAATAAGTATAAATAATAATTAAAAAAACAAAATTTTATTTAATACTGACCACAAATAAAAACTGTAGGTTTAGGAAACTATCGATAATTATTGTTTACTGTCTTTTTTCTAATACTAGAAGAACATTTATGAAACAAACAAGTACATTAACTAATAGCCAGTTATTCTAAATTAACTAAATCAACTAATCATTGCTGTAAATTAAGTGGCAAATCAAAAGATAGTAATTATAAATGAGGCAGTTGAGTATAATAATTGCAGAAGATTAGATTCTAACATTGTGATTGAACCTACCTCAAAAAAGAGTCATAGGTTAGATCCTGTGGTTACAAGATACGTACAAGATCGTGGATGTTCACTGCTGAGAAGTTTCATAGTAGGACGAAACGGCCGTTCAGTGCTTTCAGGTTTCCAATAGTAGTCTAGTTTAGACAAACTGTCAAAATACAAAAACTGCACAAATCATCATACCTAAAATATTTTTATCTTTAAATTTAATTTAACTTACTGATACTTTAATTACACATAAGCGAATACATGATATATATATATATTCTTCCAGTATATTTCGTATTGAGTCTTTTTACACAATCATTGAACAACAAGATTCTTCGAATTATGGTATGCAAAAACCGATAAAGAATGATATTCAGTTGAGAGTCAGCCAAAGGGTCTATAACGCATTCTAAGGGATAGGTTTTGAAATAATTTATACTTAGCATTCTGATTTGTTTCTATACATACCTTTTGAATACAACAGTTATTATTATTACATACTACTAGGTCATTTATCAATCAATTACTATTACTGATTTTCTTTATTAGTGGTTTATATAACTCGGTGAATATATGACTTAATAGTCAACTTCAAAAAATAAGATATTATTGGAATTGATTTACATTCCTAACAAGAAGTGAATATTTTACTTCTGTACATGAACTGAATGAGTTTCCACTGTTGTCTAAATAAAGACAATGAGTCAAATAAGATTTTTCATGTAAAACCAATGTTTATTAATGCATTTATTTCAGCGAGAATAAAGCTAGCGAATTGAAATACTAAAGTTACATTTACATGACTATTTGACACCTTCTACAGCTTTCGAATACCACTCAACCATGTCAGTAATGAAACAGTAACAAACCGATAACCAGTGATGAGCTAACCATGTTTACAATCAATTGAGTTTGAAAATGTAGACCATAGAACTTAAGCTAGGGAGTTGGATTGCATCGTGCTCTTATGGACATAAATAAGAAAAGCTCATTCGTTTGTGAGCTAAGAGGCTTAAATTGCTGATGAACCCCAAACAAAGATAAAATATATCATTTGGTATTGTTTTACTTGAATCATCTCATTGATGTTTAGGACTGAAATTGATCAGTCTGTTATTGGCATATATGCATACTGTGAGTATTGCCTCGATATTGCCTTAATTTACAAGCATTATAAGCAAAGATGGATAGTGGCTAGCAATGGAATCCAGGACGAGTGTTTCGTCCTATTTGGAACTCGTCAGCTGGATGGGGCTTCAACTCAGAGGTGATGTTCACTCTGGGACTCCAACCTAGCATCGTTCGCTTCAAACGCCATCGCGTTATCCACTTGGCTACTGAGTTGAGGCGATACGCACAGGATGCACATATGCCAATAACAGACTGATCAATTTCAGTCCTCAACATCAATAGTAAGATTCAAGTAAAACAACACCAAGTGAATTAAACTTCAACCCATTGCACACAAAAAAGTGGCTATCAGGACTCAGTAATCGAGTGCAAAACGCGGTGGCTTTTTGAAGCGAACGGTACTGGGTTCAAGTCGCAGAGTAAACATCAACTCCGAGATGCAGGTCCATCCAGCTGACGCGACCCAAGTAGGACAGAACGCGCGTCGTGGATTCCACTGCTAACCACTATACATCTTTGCTTATAAAGATAAGATAATTCTTCAGTAACTCCCAATTTTCATCTTTTATAACTGGAGTTTGTACAGACAGATCACATGTTGTTGCAAGGCAGCACAAATCACATACTGTACAGAGGAAAAGTGAGAAATGCAATAATAGACAAATTTATTATGGGTGAGCGAATTATTGACCAAAGGGACAGTATATATGCCCTTGTTTGGACCAGTTCAATAACTTATAATATATACGGATCAGCTTCCTACCTAATTTATAGGCATTTAGCGTGAACGACGCAAATCAGTCTTAGCCTTCTTACTCTTTCATAGCTAACTGGACAAGCATTAGAAGAGGTCCATTATAACTGATCTGAAGAGAAGGTAAACATAACAATAGTTCTTAAGCATATATCAAATATTAGTGAAAATAATTACAAGTTATATGAGATCCTTAAGTAAAAACCTAATTAAAATATTGTAATTAAAGGTGACTATCATGTTAACAACAGGCTAATCCCACATTAAGTTTATCAAGTAAGAAATAAGATAAGCGGGAAAAATGAATGGGCCGTGATTATGCGAATATATTACATGGGCTTATTAAAATAACATAACAATTTCTTCCTGACTTATGGTTCGATACTTTTCTGTAAACTATTCTCAATCTATGTCTGAATAAAAAAGTCTCGATGAAGTGACTAGTGTTTTGTCTGTTTAATAATATATACATCACATATTCATGTTTTAAACGAACCTGGATTTTTGAAAAACATCCTTCAAGTTAAATGAAGTATATCGTGGAATTTACAAATCAGTAACTCAAAACTGCCTATGGCTAAATTTACCCATGTTATCTAACCATTATTTCTGAATAAGATCTATTTGAAGACAATTGTATTTGTAAATGAACTTTGTGACAATAAATTCACAGAGTTCCATTTATTTTCGACCAATCTTTTCTTAATTAAAAATATCTCATGTACAAGTTATAGTTGACGGTTTGATTTGGTCTTTCAAAAAGAAACTAGCAAAATATCATCCAGTAAATGAATCTTGACTTCGAGGACACCATTTTTTAAATTGGAGAAGTATTTATCATGACATGACCTACGTACTTTAGTATTTTCACTTTAAGACCTAGTTTCTCTTCCAACTTTTGTATATCCGGGTTGATCTTCATGTTTGTTATCCAAGATCGTATACTGTTTAAAATTACTTATCATTTACAACTGATTTACTTTAGTCGAAAGTCAATCGCTTTGATGAGTACACAAATACGTTATATTGAACTACTTTGTCAATGGAATTTTGTAATTTGAAGACAGTTTTTGTCAATAACTGGTATAAGATGATTCATCATTGAGTATTGAATACCTTGGAACTTCACAGAATTGTACATGTATGATTGCAATATTAGACAAAATCTAAAGACTTTAAGGTTTACAATAAATACAATACCATTATTCCAATAATTTTAAATAATAAGGTTCATAAAATTAGGAAAAAACAAATGTAATCAGTTTAAATCTGTCTATAAACCATTAGTGATTTCATCTAAAAGTAGAATCATGAATTTTAACACTACTAACATTTTTCTTTAGACAACTATACTTCCTTTCTGTTTCATTCAATTACTTATGTAATTGATTTCTCAAGTGTTTATTGTGACGAATTTAGTTATTGTTCTTGTTAGTAGTATTAGCTTTACCCAATATTATGTTTTTGGTACAATATAGAATTTTCAACACAAAGTATTTCAACAAGTTTCTTATTTCTTGATCGATCTTGACGATAAATATAAAATGATTGCCAGTTAGAAGTTAGCAGTTCAGTCAATCAAGATCGAAATAATGTATATTTTTTTCGCTGTATATTGCCAGTCATCACAATATCTTTGATTGGACCTTTCACAACTTGTACAACAAAATGTTGTACACTTTTTAAAAACGCATCTGTGTATAGGTTAGGCAATTCATATCCATAATGATGTATTAAAACAAACAAACTTAGATAACAATTTGAAATATCTAGATGAAAGGAACAAATGACCTAAATATTCAAGAAGGTTGCCAGTTGTGTTTTTTTCTTCTTTTTTGATTAGAAATAATTGAAGATGTTTCAATTAAAAGATAAATACCCACTCAATTGTACTTTGTTTTTTTTTCTTTTTCTTTACCCTTTTTTATAATTTAGATGAAAGTTAATTGAAGTTATTCAATTCATATGACATTCATGATCAAGATTTATTTTTTATATTTCAATGAATTACTTATTATATAATTTGTAATTAAATTTCTATATGGATTGGCAAACATATCAAAAAATTAATTTCTATTCAAATATACAACAAACAAATTTTACATTTGATGTAGCTAAAGAGATTTTACCTGTTAAATTATTAATTATTATATTATATTCATTTATTACATTAATAGGTGTAACTGGTAATCTATGAGTTGTATGGATTGTATTACGTGTTAAATTATTACAAACAATTACTAATATATTTATAGCAAATTTAGCTATTTCTGATATTTTAATGAGTCTTGTAGCTACACCATTTACACCGTTATCATTATATATGAATGATTGGACATTACCTGAAGCTGTATGTAAATTATTACCAACTACTATGGGTGTTTCTGTTTATGTATCTACATTAACATCAATGGCTATTGCTTTAGATAGATTTTTTGTTATTGTACATCCATTTTTACCAAGAATGAAAGTATGGTTATGCTTTATTATATATTTACTGTATGGATTATAGCTGTACTTAATTCAATGCCATTAGCTGTTTATCAACAAAAGCATAAAGATCCTATTAATAATGTATCAAGTTGTCGAGAAAATTGGCCTAAAGAATCATCACGTGAAGTGTTTACAATTGTTAGTTTTGTTTTACAATTTGTTATACCTTGTAGTATTATTTCAGTGTGATATTTTCGTATAAGTTTATTATTACGCGCTAGATTACATACACAAATTGGTAGTGGAACTAAAACACATATAAAAGAGGAACGTGATATAAAACGTAAACGTCGAACAAATACAATGTTAATAGCTATGGTTGTAATATTTGTTATATGTTGGATACCATTAAATATTTTATGGATGGTTATGGATGTACATAGTGAAGAACAAATAAATGATGTACAAAATTCTAAAAATTTCACTTTAATATTTTTATATGCCATTTATTAGCTATGAGTAGTGCTGTATATAATCCATTTCTGTATGCATGGATGAATAGTAATTTTCGTAAAGAATTTCATCGTAATTTACCATGTTTCTTTTTAAAATCAAAATTTTATACAAATCAAATTACTACACAAACTATTGGCGGTGAATCTACAGCTATACGTATAATATATCTTAATTCAACAAATCAACTACCATCGCCTATGCATAAACTAATGAAGAATTCAAAGAGACTAGTCAAATTTTATCAAATAAATTGAATTTAAATCATAAATCACAACAAATTAATAAAATTAATCTTGATAATGAACTCAATAGCAGTAAAAATAATGATAATACATTTATTAGTCATATTGATGAGACAAATAAACAATATGATGATAAACAAATGATACATAGAACAGAAGTGACAATTTGTCATAATCCATCAAATGATAATTTAAACAAAATCAATATAAATTTAAATGATCAAATAGAAATGAAAAAATTAGATGATAATGATAGTAATGATGATCAATTAATTGAAAATACGAATTGTTCACAAACATTGAACCTTGAATGAACATTTTTTTAAAAATTTGGCTCGAAATATTTACAGATTTTAATCATGATAAGTATTAAAACAAAAAAAACTATTTTTTTTCTGTTGAAATTTCTATATTATACAATATAAATGACATATTTATATTGTTCTTGACATGTCAGAAATTATATATAGAGTTTTCTTGTGTTTTTATTGAATCTTGATTGAGTGGCAGACGGAGTATTTCATACTATTGAATTACTGAAATAAAAATAATTTTCTAAAACCTGCTTTTTTTCCATAGATCATTAAATAAGGTTTATGGTAATGTTGATGGAGTTTTGTTCTCTGAGATGGATGGTTTATTCGTGGAGCTTTCATTGTCCTTCTGAACGATATCATTAGCACAAACTACAGGTAGAAGGTTAGTCCAATGGTGAAGTGGTTATCATATTCGCTGCACACACACACATAAAGCTCCCTGTTCGAAACCGAGGTGGACCAGGTTAACCTGCGGTTTGTTGTAATATTTGACCATTTGTTGGTTCATAAATGAAATTATAGGAGTTATTCGACAAAGAATAGAGAATATTATTTAATGGCTCAAAATATAATATGGATAAGAGATTTTGGCTTCAATGCATACATTTCTTGAGAAGGATTTCAAAGGTTAATCATGTAAATAAATTAGTTTTTAAATGTAACAATCTTGGTAACCTTTATGAATTCTATTAAATGAAACGTTGGAAATCTCAATGACTAATGGGTTAGATAGTTTGCAACTGCCAAAAGATTACTTGGTATATCTTCAACAGTAAGTAACAAGTGGCCGTAATCCAGAACTTATACGTGCTTGCACAAATGTGATATTTCATTTTTATGTAGATAATCGTTAATGTATCCTAAATGTTTTAAAACATTTTTTTCTAACTTCTTAACAAATACTTGTACGGTGATCTACAAGAGGCAGGCAGTAGGAAAAAAATTTGTATTTCAATGTTAACTTATGAGAAAGTTTCCTGTAACCACTTTTCTTATTCACTGAAATAGCTAGTGATTTCAGGTGCTATTCCATCCATTATGATCTGATTTGAATAACTGAGAATTAGGTCGTTTTCCTGTGATTTGTAGTGTCGCGACGACTTAAAAACAAATTTCTGAAACTTTGTTACCTATTGAAACAGTTTTATACAAGAATAAATAACTTGTACACCTAAATACATATTGGAATAAAGTCTTAGTAAATAGGCACAAACAAAACCAATCGTTTATATTAAAGTTGAATTGAATTTTATATTTGGAAATACTTGTTTAAGTATTATTAACTATTAAGAGCAATAATCAGACCAATATGATACAGATAATCTTATCAAACTGCCAATGCATAAATTCCTTAATACAGTTTAGCTACTGTGACAAGCTTGTCTCATATGCGAACAAGAAGAACGCAATATGAATTTTCAATTTTTGACCAGTTTTCATTTGTGCAGTTATCTATTTAAACTAATTCATTGCTGGAAACTTAAATCTTGTTAAAATATCTATTTTGAAAACAAACGCTTCACCAAAATATATTCAAAATGATAATGGTCATGTTAGTCTCATTTCGTGTACACTTGATTATGTAGTTGAACTCATGAGTAGTGTACAATACGGTTGTTTATTTATTAGCTGACTATATACATAAGTCTATTCTGATTGTAAACTGTACCTTAGTGATTTGGTCTTGTTATGTTATCTGGTCCATGGGAAATATACTGTTTCATAAATCTCTGTATCTGACTCTTGGTTTTGAACTATCCGATTACCGGTCAACTGACAGTATTCGGGTCTTTAATTATTATGAAGTAGTTTTTAACAATGGAAGATTGGAGTCAAGCCTAGGTAAGACAAACCTCAAATAAAATATTGAAATACGCTCTGGAGTATGCTTCTATCAATCCAAAAAACCTTCTATGTCTTACCGAAAAGCAATTGTTTTCTACTTATATAGCTTCATTTTAGTTTCAACAAAGTATTAGTCTTAAGATTAAATATATAATAAACTTACCACACAGTCAGTCAAATTCATAAGTATTTTCATATTGGTTAGCGAAATCTTAATATCGACTCACCCAAAGTAAACATTTCATCATCAATTTATTAAAAAAATAAAATTGGTGGGAAACGAGTTACATAGTAACCAAACGCATGTCGCCTAAGTGGTTTGACATGGCATTAGGGAATGAAGTCCTTGATGTCTGTATTTGTGATGCCTGACATTTAATATTTTTCTTGATGCATATTAGTTCATTTCATCACGGGGTTAAAGTTATCTTAAGACCGATAAATCCATAATCAAAGTAAATTTACATATGCGACAGAGATATAATTCTGTTTTGTTCAAGTATATGTAGGTTCTCTTAATACTTGCCATCCGTAATCGCTATTTTGGATAGCTCTCAGAGACTCACTATGATCATCAAAATCAATGTTCTAGAAACTAAATAAAACTGATTACTAGTTGAGAAACAAAATGATTGGTTCACACTCAGCATAGAGTACTGATGGACTTCGATGGAAATGTTTTGCCAGATACATGGGATTGCAATTAACTGGATATAAAATCCCCTTTGTTTTACATACTCCACGTGTCAGCTACAGGAAATTAAGTAAGTTCAAAGGATCGAGTGCCTTTTAACAACTAGTATGGTTTGAAAGAATAATGATCAATAATTCAATACACCATTATTTGTTTATTGATTTTTTTCTTATAAAAACAGAGACAGACGAAAAATAAAAAGAGAAATTTAGCTCGTCAAGATGCAAAACGTTTCAAAAGTGAAAGTCATCGAAAATCAGTTCTAAAAGATTTAATAAATCCTGAACCGCCAACATTAATTTTACCAAATATTGTTGATAACGCAATAAAAATTCATAAAAACATTTCACCAACAACTTCAAACCCATCAGATTCTCCAATTCATCATTTTTCAAGATGTTCAACTTTACGACGTTCTGATTCACTTAAACGATCAACACAAAGTGAAATAGATGAACCAACAGAAAAAGATTTATTTGTTAAATAAATTAATTCTTCTATATTTCAGTAGTTTTCTATTTAGTTTAGGTTCTTTTTTTATAGTAAAATACTTTGTTCCATCATTTTCCTTATCAAATGAATATCCTATAGAATACTTTTAACATATATACTTATTATTTTCTACTATGTAACTTACTACTATTTTTACATATCCAAAAGTTATTGAATTACTATAACCAGTAGTGTATATCAATAAATTTTAAAATTTATTACTGTTTACATGTAACCATGGGAACATTTAAATATATTCAAACAATATGTTTAACAGATAAGTGTTTATATATAAATAAATGCTTAAATATTAGATTAGTAATTTTGTTTATGTTATTTTGCAAATAGACATTTTGTTTATCTTCAGATTAAAATTAATTTTATACAGTTAACATACAAGACAACTGATACTAGCCACTCAAGAGGATAATGGTGGTGATATCTGTTGAGAAATATTAAATTGAATGATAAATAAAAAGTGACTAACAGATTACTAATACTTTAAATAATGAGTAACAATAAGAACTAATGTGTGCATTTTATACCATTTAGAAACCCATCAAAAAACCAACCTTTATTTTTTGCAGTTGTTCTTAGTGAAATAAGATGGTAGTACTAGCACATTTCTATCGGGTGTAATACACCTATTTTGTTGTTGTAGAAATTTAAAAATTTTCTCGTTAATAGTCAAGATTACCACAATTAGTATCCTCTGGAATATTATTACTGATTTTAAAGTATAAATCTAAACAAACCAGATTGAAGGTCAATTAATACTAGGTGATTGTAGGTGGCGACTATGGAACGGCGGATTTACATTTCAGGCTAGTTGGCATTCGTCAACAGAACGTAAGTGAACTTTTAAAGAAACTGACAATTTCGATCAGATCTGAACACGCTTATCTCTGCTTCACAGCTTGAAAATGGTAGCTAGCAATAATCCTTAGTTCAGGGTTTCCTACCGGCTACATTCAACCACGTTACAGAGTAAATGACATGTCGAGTCATTGAAACTAATGGCTACATTATAACTTGGTCGACAGAATCCAATCAGTACTAAAGGACTAGACGAATATTAAATTGGTCAGAACTACTCAATGACCAATCATCAATGGAGCGTACCTAATGTCGAAAACTGAATGTGTCAGAACAGTTTAAAAGGAAATTTCACATAAACTTTCAATGTTCAAATATTAGCTCTTACATCCATCAGTAACAGCAATCATCGTTACCAGGAGCGTCTTTTTATGATGTGAAATCGTGATTGGTAAAATATGATAACTTAGTAATACATATAACAATTTTATAGGTAGTATAGTATTTCTGAATAAAATATTGAAAAAATACCATAGAAATAATCAACTTTCTTTTTATAATAATCATAGACATGCGTAAATAAATCCCCTTTTAAATGATACTAAAAATAATGATATAATTATAAAGTCCCAATAAGCCATTTCTTCATAGAATAAATAAATTATCAAGAACCAACCCAGTTGAGGGGTAAAATACGGAACTTTTGACTGGTAAGGTTGCAGATTAAAGTACTGCAACATTCATTTTGTTAAAATACTATTACCAGTCCTAAATTATGAAGTGTGATTCAAAGTTGAGGACACAAATATATACATACGTACTAGGATTTTATTTTCATTGTTCACCTATAAATATTTTCAGTTAAGTTCGATACTTTATTCTGATAGTTTTGTTCTCTGACCTGAATGGAGTAGTCATGGTGCTTTCATCCAGTTCACAGAGCAAAACTTCATCAAAATCATCTACCTGAGTTACAAATCTTCTCCACCATACTTACTTACTTACGCCTGTTACCCCTCGTGGAGGAGCATAGGCCGCTTACCAGCATTCTCCATCCAACCCTGTCCACCATCTCAACACTTTATTCTATCAAATATAAGACTTAAAGTCACGCAACAAAACATTATATCATTATAGAAAATAATCACAT